CAAGTCACCAGTAACATCTAACACAAGTCACCAGTAACATCTAACACAAGTCACCACAAGTCACCAGTAACATCTAACACAAGTCACCAGTAACATCTAACACAATTCACCAGTAACATCTAACACAAGTCACCAGTAACATCTAACACAAGTCACCAGTAACATCTAACACAAGTCACCACAAGTCACCAGTAACATCTAACACAAGTCACCAGTAACATCTAACACAAGTCACCAGTAACATCTAACACAAGTCACCAGTAACATCTAACACAAGTCACCAGTAACATCTAACACAAGTCACCAGTGACATCTAACACAAGTCACCAGTAACATCTAACACAAGTCACCAGTAACATCTAACACAAGTCACCAGTAACATCTAACACAAGTCACCAGTAACATCTAACACAAGTCACCAGTAACATCTAACACAAGTCACCACAAGTCACCAGTAACATCTAACACAAGTCACCAGTAACATCTAACACAAGTCACCAGTAACATCTAACACAAGTCACCAGTAACATCTAACACAAGTCACCACAAGTCACCAGTAACATCTAACCCAAGTCACCAGTAACATCTAACACAAATCACCAGTAACATCTAACCCAAGTCACCAGTAACATCTAACACAAGTCACCAGTAACATCTAACACAAGTCACCAGTAACATCTAACACAAGTCGCCAGTAACATCTAACACAAGTCACCAGTAACATCTAACACAAGTCACCACAAGTCACCAGTAACATCTAACACAAGTCACCAGTAACATCTAACACAAGTCACCAGTAACATCTAACACAAGTCACCAGTAACATCTAACACAAGTCACCAGTAACATCTAACACAAGTCACCAGTAACATCTAACACAAGTCACCAGTAACATCTAACACAAGTCACCAGTAACATCTAACACAAGTCACCAGTAACATCTAACACAAGTCACCACAAGTCACAAGTAACATCTAACACAAGTCACCAGTAACATCTAACACAAGTCACCAGTAACATCTAACACAAGTCACCAGTAACATCTAACACAAGTCACCACAAGTCACCAGTAACATCTAACCCAAGTCACCAGTAACATCTAACACAAATCACCAGTAACATCTAACCCAAGTCACCAGTAACATCTAACACAAGTCACAACAAGTTACAAGTAACATCTAACACAAGTCACCAGTAACATCTAACACAAGTCACCAGTAACATCTAACACAAGTCACCAGTAACATCTAACACAAGTCACCACAAGTCACCAGTAACATCTAACACAAGTCACCAGTAACATCTAACACAAGTCACCAGTAACATCTAACACAAGTCACCAGTAACATCTAACACAAGTCACCAGTAACATCTAACACAAGTCACCAGTAACATCTAACACAAGTCACCAGTAACATCTAACACAAGTCACCAGTAACATCTAACACAAGTCACCAGTAACATCTAACACAAGTCACCAGTAACATCTAACACAAGTCACCGGTAACATCTAACACAAGTCACCACAAGTCACAAGTAACATCTAACACAAGTCACCAGTAACATCTAACACAAGTCACCAGTAACATCTAACACAAGTCACCAGTAACATCTAACACAAGTCACCACAAGTCACCAGTAACATCTAACCCAAGTCACCAGTAACATCTAACACAAATCACCAGTAACATCTAACCCAAGTCACCAGTAACATCTAACACAAGTCACCAGTAACATCTAACACAAGTCACCAGTAACATCTAACACAAGTCACCAGTAACATCTAACACAAGTCACCAGTAACATCTAACACAAATCACCAGTAACATCTAACACAAATCACCAGTAACATCTAACACAAGTCACCAGTAACATCTATCACAAGTCACCAGTAACATCTAACACAAGTCACCACAAGTCACCAGTAACATCTAACACAATTCACCAGTAACATCTAACACAAGTCACCAGTAACATCTAACCCAAGTCACCAGTAACATCTAACACAAGTCACCAGTAACATCTATCACAAGTCACCACAAGTGTCACCAGTTACACCTAACCCAAGTCACCAGTAACATCAAACACAAGTCACCACAAGTGTCACCAGTTACACCTAACACGGCGCATAACCAGTTGACACGTAATCCTTAATTGTGATGGAAGCATGGTCGAGTCGGCAAAACTCATGGTTGATAAATTCGAAAGAAGTCTCGAGTTCAAACCCTCTGGCAGATAAGGCTCGATCCCTCCCAACACTAAAAATTAAGAACGAAGAAGAAGAAGACACCTAACCCAAGTCACCAGTAACATCTAACACAAGTGTCACCAGTAACATCTAACACACGTCACCACAAGTCACCACAAGTCACCAGTATCATCAAACCCCACTCACGTCGTTGTTGAAGTACGTCTTGGAAAACTCCGAACTGACGGACTTGAACATCGTGATGTTGGTGTACTTGTCGGTGTGGTACTCCCAGCTGTCCTCCATCATCATCGGGATGTTCAAGATGGCCGACAGGATGAACACCACACACAGGGCGGCCTTGACCCTTAGGCTGCTGCAGATCTGGTTCCAGTTCAAAGGTAGGCGTAGCCCGATCGTCCTTGAGCGACAGGAAAAGAAAGAAAAAGTGTGCAGAGCCGATTCAGTTGCGGGAAGTGAAGATATTAAAGAAAGCATGGGTAACTCAGGAATCTATCTATATAATTCTCTTCTGGGAGCCTTTAGAAAACAAGCTGCAAGCGCGCCTTACAGTCCCCTCTCTTCCTCTCTATCGCTACCACCCCCCACCCCCTCACATGGCCTGGTGAGCTGTGGTTCACGCTGTTTACATTTTACAATCATAGAGACGGGTTTGGTGACGGCTATTAGGGGCAGATAATTTAGTTTGAAACGATTTTAAACTTAGAGGAGGTAACTAAGAGGAGGCTGCTTTCACGTGGGGGGGGGGGGAGGGGGGGTTTAGTGTTTTTAAGCAATTTTTTTCAGTGGCAGCATTGGTACTGTCGAATTCACAAATTATAAATTACTGAAAAGTAGAAAGAAAAAAAAACAACTAAATAGCGGCGTATGATACGCAGCGGGTAGGCTCGTTGTCAATAATTGAAGTAATGCTTTTTTTATGATTTGTAGGCTAACCGCCTACCTACCTACCTTCGTCACACATTTTCACAGTTAGGTCCAAATTCCACTCTAAAATGACATCAAACTTCACTCTCACTCCCACCCCACCCCACCCACTCACACACACACACACACATCGCTAAATACAATTTTTATACAGTGAAAGTCCTTTCTAATTATTAATCGCGTTGTTACCCTCAATAAAATCTAGCCAAAAGAAAACGAAATTAAAATGGCAATTCTAACTGCCAGCTAAATTGATTTCGCCGGAAACATTGCTAATCCCGATATAATTAAATACGGAAATAGGTAGCAAAATCAGTGTCGATTTTATGTACATTGATTAATTCAATTTGTATTACAATTTTTAAAAAAAAGAATACTAATACTACAATTCGCAATAACTATAAAAACAATTCAGTTTATAAATAACTTCTTCAAACACATGTTGATGTCACACCCCTTGCCTCCTCTTCACAGTTTAGTGATACATTGTCAGTAAGCAAAGTTTCCTCCAGGCATCTCTTCGGAAAGTCAACCCCCCCCCCCCCACCCGAACGAAATGGAACTTATATAGGAAATATATACTTTTAACAGTGGCCACCCCCCCCCCCCCCCCCCGAAAATTTTAAGTGCCCCCCCCCCCCCCCCGGAGAAAAAAAGTCTGGAAGAAACACTGTCACTCAGTCAAAAAACCTCCCCTCTTTATAAATTTATAAGAGTTAACTTGTCTAGAAAAAAAATGTACAAAGATACAACCCACATTATAAAGCCACTGACCTGTCGATAGACAAGATGACCGTCGTGTAGACAGACCCTGTGATGGCCACGTTGGTGAAGGTGCTAATGAAAGGCTGGGCTAGGCTGACGTAGGTATCGTGCCAGTCGTTGAGTCCTTGAAACGGTGGGGGGGGGGGGGGGGGGTAGTGAGTTTATTGATATCAGAGCATCGACGATTTACTAAACAGATGTTACAACGATATTCAGTGATAAACGTTTTTATTGATTGATGATGTTTTGATGTTAGAGAATCGACGATTTACTAAACAGATGTTACAACGATATTCAGTGATAAACGTTTTTATTGATTGATGATGTTTTGATGTTAGAGAATCGACGATTTACGAAACAGATGATACAACGATATTCAGTGATAAACGTTTTTATTGATTGATGATGTTTGGATGTTAGAGAATCGATGATTTACTAAACAGATAATACGATGTTAAATAGTTGAAGCTTTATTGATGTGTTGATGTTGAGAATAAATGATTTAATCTTGAAGAACTGAAGACAGCGGGGGTGTCTTGGAAAGACTGCAAAACTAACAGCCGGGGACAGGGCAAAATGGAAGGTTATGGTTGAGGCCCTATGCTCCACAAGGAATAAAGAGGACTAAGTCAAGTAAGTCAAGATGCTAGACAGTCGATGATGTGTTGATGGTTAACAAAAAACCATCAACATCATCTTTTCCCGTTCGTGCTTAAGACAAATTGAGCAGATGAATTAGAGTTATCTGTTTTAATGACCTTGACATACCAAGGGATAGTGTGATCAGTATTATACCCAGTCGAGTTGACTTGCCCAAATGTGAGTCAGGTACCCATCAGAGCTGGGTGGACTCAGGGACGTTGTACAGGCTCCCCCCCCCCCTGCTACATGTAGCTGGACGTAACAGACTGACAAACGACAAAATTGTATAGACAAAATACACAAGTATTGTTGCTAGGCTATGGTGTATTGATTCCATGCTACAGTCACTCACCTGTGACGCCGAAATGAAAGTACTCCATGCTTATGAACACGGTGTTGACCAGCAGAAATATCAGGTCGTATGTTGCCATGGCGATTAGGTACAAACTGACAAAGGGAGTGGTGTGCTATACTAATTAATTTTCAAACAATAAATAACTCAAAATTGATTTTACAAATATTCTAAAATAGCCCGCACTGTCGAACCAATTCTTTACTTATTCATAGTAGTGTAGCCCACTTTGTCGAACCACAAGAGGCGAGGTTATAAAATTCCCATACCGTCGAAAATCTATATTGAAATTTATTTGGTATAAAATTAATAACATAAACATGGTAGTTTCGTTTATTTTTATTTCGAGCGGGAAAATATCCAAAAACATTGATTTAAACGGTACACTCTTTCTTTTTTTTTTAATTTTCCGAACTAGCGTTTCGACATTACGGGCTTATCCTTACTTCACAGGCACCTTACCGATATTCTAGATGTACCCCCACACGTTATATACCCCCTACCCTATTTGCGCGTGCATGCTACCCCACGTGCCAACAACGAACACATGTAACTGCGTTACTCACGAAGTTGTGGACCTCATCTCACGTGCAGTGAGTACCCCAAGACTCAGACAGTTGCAGACGATCCCCAGGAAACCGACGAAAGTTCCAGCCACCCCGACCAGATGGCACCAGGCCCTCTCGCTGGCGTAGGCGTCTGGGAACTCTTCGTACTTGGTCCGGGGTCTGTGGCGCAGGGTGGTGTTCATGGCTAGAGGGGCATAGGGGAAACAGTGGTATTCATTGGGAAAACAGTGGTATTCATTGGGAAAACAGTGGTATTCATGGGGGAAACAGTGGTATTCATGGGGGAAACAGTGGTATTCATGGGGGAAACAGTGGTATTCATGGGGGAAACAGTGGTATTCATAGTGAAAACAGTGGTATTCATGGGGGAAACAGTGGTATTCATGGGGGAAACAGTGGTATTCATAGTGAAAACAGTGGTATTCATGGGGGAAACAGTGGTATTCATGGGGGAAACAGTGGTATTCATGGGGGAAACAGTGGTATTCATTGGGGAAATAGGGGAATTCATGGTTAGATGTTCATAGGGAAAATGTGATATTCATGAAAAAAACAGTGGTATTAATGAGAAAACATTGGTATTCAGGGTTATATGTTCATGAAGAAAAGAGTGGTATTCATTGTGGAAATAGTGGTATTCATTTTTATATGATGATGGGGAAAATAGTGCTATTCATGACTAGAAGTGCATAGGGGAAACAGTGGCATTCATGGTTAGAGCCACATGCAGAAAAAAGTGGTTTCCATTCTCAGATGTTCTTGGACAAAGCAGTGCTATTCAATGGAAAACAGTGGCATTTACGACTAGAGGTTTATAGAGAAAACAGTGGTATTCATTACTAGTGGTATTCAAATCTATAAGTGCTTTGAGAAAAAGAAAATGTGGCGTCACTATCTGTGACGATAGGAGGAAGAGCACAAACCAGAATTTTTTTAAAGAATGACGTCATCCTTGGACAGTGTTTCTTTTTTTTAAATTTCTCGGGGGGGGGGCAGTTCGGGTGAGTGGACGACTTAATATTCCGGGGGTGATGGGGATGCGGGGGCGGCGTATACTGGTAGAATTATGTATATATATATATATATATATATATATATATATATATATATATATATATATATATATATATATATATATTGTTGAATATAAGTTCTATTTAAATCGGCTTCCCTCTTCCCACCCACCCCCCAGCTCCCCCCCCCCCCCCGCCCGAAGAGATGGCTGAAAGAAACACTGTTGGTGAACGACTTCTCGGCCGTTTAATACAAGAATAACGAAGTTTAAGAAATCACGCCATTGTTGTAAGTAAACTCGAAAAATTAGACCGAATAGTTTTTACATCCAAGTGCTAGATCTGCTTTAATATTCACACACTTTCTAAAACAAAAAAAATCTCTAACCATTTTTACTTTCTCGTATATACGAAGTATAGAGAAAGTCTTGTAATTGTGCAAAAAAAATCGAGATTTTTACAAATCTCGACGTTTTACACCTCACTGATACGGAAAAACATAATTTTGCAATCTTGTCCGTATGTCTGTGTGTCTGTCTGTGTGTCTGTCTGTGTGTAAAAAGGATAACTTGAGTACTGTTACAGCTAGGTTGATGAAATTTTATATATAGTATTTTATCAAAATCGTAGATCCTGAGCGATTTCCGATAACCGGAAGTGGTACTTTTTCTACTCTGAATTTTTCAAAAGCCTATAACTTGAGTACTATTTCATATAGATAAATGAAACTTCACATGTAAATAAAAGATCTAATTCTCTACCTTCTGTCAAATTTTTAGTAATTTCCGTTGACCGGAAGTACTAATTTACGCTTTTTCCGATTTCTCAAAAAACGCATGTAAATTTAAAAAGTACTAATAATATTGCGCACTTTTATGCACATTTTGTTTTGGCGTTCGCTTGGTGCGCAATTCTTTTTTCTACGAGATTCTATTCAATTTTTAAAAGTTTAAGTAATTAAAAATCATGTCTATATTCCGAGTTATATAAGAATATTCGAGAAAGTTTAGGGGAGATCACTCC